GAGACTGAGGCAGGAAGCCACCCTCAGCAACTCAGTAAGGACCTAAGCAATTTAGGGAGACAGAACTCAAAATAAAAAGTAAAGTAAAAAAATTGAAATGGCAGGGGATGAGGCTGTTGCCCCTTTGGGTTCAGTCCCCAGGACCAAAACATACTATATACTCAACGACCTTGGAACAGTAACTTTCCAGTCTTTCTTCAGTTTTTAAAGAATATGAAGTAGCTGGTAAAAGTGGGGTGTAGAATTTCAGGGATTAGGAAGGTCTTATTTGAGAGGAAGATTTGGTTTTCCAGCTTCTTCCTCTGTGCTAAATATATATATTTTTTCTTTTAATCTGGGCATATTATTCTTTTTTAAAAAAATCTTCCTTTTCAAACACTAATTTATAACAATGAGTGAACTTCTCTGAGGAAAATAACTGTGTTATTTATTTGCCTTGTAAAACAAGTGAAGAATGCAATTGTTGAACTATGGACCTCCCCCTAGCAACTTACCCTCCCATTCTTAGCACTGTATAAGTTTATGAGAAAGCTCTAAACGCAGAACGAACGGAGGCATTAGGAGGGAAGAAAAGATTTTGGGAATATAATACAGACTTTTCCCATTGGATTCAAAGCTCTTTGAGGCATTTATTGCAAAAAGTGTTTCCTGTAGTTTGTTTCCATGTCTTATAGACCAGGCAGGCACCCAGTCCCTCCCTGGCCCTCCCTCCATTCCCTTGAGACATGCAGATCTGTCCTCTTTCATTACCTCTGTATTTGGGCACTGTCAAGATTCTGGAAACACACTGACTTCTTCCTTATCATAGTGGTGGTAGTGAGAACTGATTTATCTTTTAAGCTAACAGTTTTGAAGAGTACAACAGAATTTAGTTCAGAGGATTAATGTTTTTTCCTGTTGTTAGACATAATTTACTAAGTTATTGGTCTCCCTTTTCCTTAGGTGCTGCTACGTCCTCTTCCTCCTCTTCCCCTTCATCCAGTTCCATAACAGCTGCTGTAATGTTAACGTTGGCTGAACCATCAATGTCCAGCGCATCACAAAATGGAATGTCAGTTGAGTGCAGGTGACAGCAGGACTTGCTAAAGCACTTTGCACTTAATGGCTGTTGAGGGCCACGTCTTTTTTTATACTGCACAGTGGCACAAAAAAAAAAAAAAAATCAGACAAGCACTATTTTGTATTTAAAAATTGTTTCTTGACAAGCTGACTTGGCACTTAAGTGCACTTTTTTATGAAGAAAAAGTACAATGAACTGCTTTTCCTCAAGCAATAATTGTTTCCAACTTGTCTGGGAATTGCGTGTCTGGTAACTTGAAGGCCTTCCACTGTGGCAAAAGAAGGCTTTTCACTGCCTGTAGAGACAATACAGTAAGCATAGTTAAGGGGTGGGCCAGAACATGTAAGATAACTTACTGTATATGTATTCCCTCGTATTTTGTTAAAGCTGGAACATTTGATATTTTTCCATTTATTTATGAAAAATATGAACCTATTTTCATTTGTACAAGCTAATTGTTTTTTAAAGCAAGTCACCTTTGGGTGGCTTTAATTGTATAAGTCAAGCACATGTAATAAATTCAAAACCTGCAGTTAACAGGATATTAGACATCAGTCCTGGTAACCAAATATTGAAGATTCTCCTTAAAAAAGACTGAACATGTTTACAGGTTTGAATTTGGCTAAAAGGTCTTGCAGTGGCTTTTCATGCCCCTTCAAATTGGAATGGAACTACTGTACTTTGCCATTTTTCTATAAATCAGTATTTTTTTTTAATTTTGATATAATACATTGTGTGAAAAAAGAAAATGGCTAATAAACTGTATTAAATCTTAAACAATGTATAAAGATTGTAATTAGCCAGTTCAAAGTGTATATTTATTCATAATGAATTATAACAGTTATATTTTTGTGTTTTCTTGTAAATGTTTCTTTCCCCTTAAATACAGATAATTCATTTGTATTGCTTATTTTATTATGAGCTACAACAAAGGACTTCAGGAACAAACTGTGTTAGTATGGTTCAAGGTTTGTATGAACTGTCTTGAGAAAGATGGTTGTTATTTTAAGTATAAATAGCTAATTGGGGTGATAGGCCTTTAAAATTAAATGCCTTGTATAAAATCCAAAATGAACGCAAAATTGTTTTCACTTGTATTGACTTTATGTTGTATGATTCCAATCTCTGTTCTGTTTGGCACTTGTATTTAATTCTTCACCTTTGTAAGACATTTGTATATTGAGGATGTGTTCATTGAAGCTATTTAATACCTGGCACTGTTAATACACAGTACTTTGCTGTACAGACTGTTTTACTGTTTTAATTGTAGTTCTGTGTACTTTTTTTGAATGGGGCTGGCATGTTTTGTTTGTTTTCTGGCAATACGACGTGAGAATTTCAAAGCATTTTGTTGTAGATGCTAACGTGTCAGAATCCTTAATCCTTTACATTCAACTTTTCTAAGAAAAGCATTTTCAGTCTTGTAGTGTGTGCTTATAGTAACTAATTTTGTTGAAAATGGTTTCAAGTTACTCAGATTTGTACAGGACTGTAAAGATTTGTTGACAGCAAAATGTTGAAGAAAAAGCTTATAGAATAAAAGCTATAAAGTATATATTAGGATCTGCAAACAATGAAGAATTATGTAATATATTGTACAAATGTAAGCAAAGGCTCTGAAATAAAATGCCATAGTTTGTGAATCCTTGATTTTGTTTCTAAAAGATAATTGTAGTTCATTACTATATGTAATGAACTAACTAGAACATATACCGCTAGTATATATATTAGCACAAATGGTTAACTGACATATAAAAATGGGAATATTCCATCTTTAAATATTACAAGTCCATTCACCAGGGCTGGAGGTGTAGCTCAGTGGTAGAATGTGTGCTTAGCATGCATAAGACAGAGTACAATCCCTAGCCTCAAAATTTTTAAAAAGTCCATTTGAGATGATTGATAGGAATTTGGGAATAAAGGAAGAGAGAGTTCCAAAGGAAGTGCCTGTAAGCCACTGAAATGCAGCACCTGTGAAATGCAGCTCCCAAGCAACATGCCCTCGCCTGTGCCAGTGTACAGAGAGTAGTTTGCAAGTGCAGGAAATACTTGGGCAAAATTAGGTAAGTCTGCCTGGGTCCACCTTAGATCTAGCCTCTAGCATGGATGCTGCACCAATAGGTTGCTGCCTCTCTCTGGAAATGGCCTATATTTTCCCTTGAATGCATAATCCTTGCTTTACCCCAAGGTATCCGACTACCCCAATCTCCTTTGAATATCTGCTTTCCTAAATAAACCTGTCTCTGCCTCTGACTGGCACTTGCTGAAATTATTTTTTTGTCACACATGCCAAGAATAGCACTGGTCAATTTTCCCTTCTCTCTGGAAACTCCTCAAACCCTTCTTCAGAGACATGTCTTCTCCTGTGACATCTTAAATCAGAAAAGGGATTGTTTTAGGCCTTTTTGAAGTACATACACTGTTTCACTTGAATCTGTATTTTTCTTAAGACTTCATTCTCCAAAGAAGAAAAAAAAATTAAAAATTTTCATTTAACACAAAAAACATTACCAGTAGCTATTTTTTAAAATTTTAACTAGATCTTTATTAAGTCTGCCTTACTCTTGTTGTTGCAATCTGGAATCAAATGGGCATTACTAAAACAAGTTAATACTAAAACCCCACCTCAGAGAGTTCTATTTAATTGGTCTGGCACAGTACCTGAGTTTTGATTTTTTTTTTTTTAAACAGAATTTATTATACTCATTAGGTCCTGGAGGAAGGAGACAAAGGTATTTATTCCATGCAGATTCACATGGGAAAGATGGCAGGATGGTCAGGTGGAGTAAGACAGGAATGAAGGGAAGGGATACGTCTATGAGGGTTTTTTTGTTGTTGTTTTGTTCAAGGTATTGAATCTTGGGGCCCTTAATAAGTCACATCCCAGCCCTTTTTATTTTGAGATACGGTCTTGCCTAGTTACTTAGGGCCTTACTTAGTTGTTGAGTCTGGCTTTGAACTCCAGTGATTTTAATGTGTACCTGTGTTGAAAACCATTGCAATGCTCCAAATCTTCTACAATCAACATTTAGCTTTTTGTTCCCATTTAGTGGATTTTCCAACAAAAGAAAAAGTTCTTAAGACAATGAAGATTAACTTGGACACAAAAATCTCAAATATGCATTAAAGCATCTTTGGAGGATCCTTTATTTTACAGAAATTAGTTTTAAGGGAGAGGTTTTAAAATCTGTCAAACCTGCTTCCCCAAATGAGTTTCTAAATATTGTGCCCTAGAAATGTATTCTCAAATACATCTGGTAATGCTCCATAGAGCATACTCTTTGTAAGGAGTCGGTGTTGACTATTTAAAAGGTGAGAAAGCTTGTAGAAAGATACTTGGCTAAATAATTTCCTTTATCCTATTGTTTTCAATTTTACACATCACAAAACCCTAACATGTTACAGACAGTGCTCCAGAGAGTAATGATTACCAATTTTGTTGGTAATCATATGCTTATGCCCCTTTTTTACTAACGTCTCTAAAGGGATTGAGAATTTCATTATATATCTAGAATTTGACCCAAGTCTACCAAGGATTGCCTAAAGTACATTTATTAGGTTAGCTTACAGTATGTTATAAAACTGAGATGTTATATTGTTTTCCAAAAGGTTTGTTTCTTATTGAAGTAACTTTAGGCAATTTTCTGATAAAGTGGAGCAGAATCCATGAAACCCCTAACATTTCTTTCTCTTACTTTTGGAACCAGGGATTGAAGCCTGGGAACTGAGGTACATCCCAGCCATTTCTAATTTTGAGACAGGGTCTAAGTTACTTAGACCCTGTTAAGTTGCTGGGATTTTAGACATCTGCCATTGCACCTGGCCAAACGCCTTAGGAAGGGTTAGTGATATTTTAATGGTTAAAAAACAGTTCTGAATGGCAGTAAGGATAATCTTTTATATTATTTCCAACAACAGTCTCTTGCACACTACTTTCCTGTTTTTTATTTATTTTTTTTTTTTTTTTGCAAGGATGGGTGGTACTCAGGGACCAAGGATTTATTTAACCCAGGGACATTTTGCAACTGAGCTAAATCTCAGACCTTATTTTTCCTAGAGCCTTGTACATGTGAAGCAGTCTACCACCTGAGCTATATTCCAGCCCCAGCCCCAATCCCAGACCTTTTTAAGACAAGTTCCCCATAAATTGTTTAGGGCTTAAGTTGCTGAAGCACTTAAACTTGCAATCCTCCTGCCTCTGCCTCTTCCTGGAATTACAGGCATATGCCTGGTCTTTCATTTCTGAGTCCTTTTTTTCTAGTTTTAACCTGTCATCTAGGGATTTGGGACTAACATCAGGTGAAGGGTTATGCACTCATAAGATAATGTTTCAATGGTACAGTTTCATGGCTTAGTTGTGCAATTATGGTAAGGCATAAAATCAAGTGCAATTTTAAGTGAACTGCTTGGTCTGGGAGAACCAGTGTATAATGGCAGTGTATCAGCACGTGAAAGTTGTGGTATCTGCAGACAGTAAATGACCCCAAAATGGCGATTTACCTGGCAATCAGACATAGGCTAGTGTGGAGGCTGGAAGTCCCCAGGACCAGATAGGATGAGACTACAGTGTTTTAGGTAGAGACAATTCTTGGAACGTTAGGGACACACCATAGAGAAGGAATGGGATAGGGAGACATTCTGAGGAAAACTGAAGAGTTTTTCAATAGATCTGATGTAGGATACATGCAAGGTGCATAAGTTGCACCAACTGCTTATGTGGATCATTTTATATTTTAAATAAAAAGGATACCAACACTACCGGAAACCAAAATAGGAAGCACAGTAATCAAAAGCAGGGTCAAGCAGTTGAATATTGCGTGAGTTCTTCATAGTTATTGGACAGGGCAAAAAAAGATCACATGTATTTCCAGTCAACTTATGTTAAGCGACTTTCAAAAGCAAGGCTGTTTCAAAAAGATTGCAAGTCAAATCCTATTCTATAACCCAAACTACTGAATTGGATACCATCTTATTACATAAAGGTCAATTTAGCGAATATTCACCAGGTACAGTGAACAGATACGAAGTATGGATGAATAGGACGTAAATCCTTACCGTCACGCCTTTAAGAAGGCAGTGCGAATAATTAGCAAAAGATGGACAGAGGAGGGCAGGAGAAACTGGCTAGGACGCAAGGGTTTGGAAGGGGGCCGCGAGATGAGCTTGGAGGAACCAGTGTCTCTAGGCAGAATCGCGGGCGGCACGAGGATCTCAGCAGCTCTAGGTGCGAACGCTTGAGCTGCGGCTGCATTTTAAGATGTCAAGTCTGTTGGGAGTTCATAACCCACTTCAATCTAATGTACGAAATACGATATGTCAAGAGCTTTGTAATGTGAACAACCAATAAACAAACAAACAAAAAAAGATGTCAAGTCTGAGGATCGTGGAAAAGAACTCAAAAGCGCAGTGCGCCCGTCGCGCCGCCTCCCCGACCGCGAGGCGCACTTCCCCTCCGCAGCCTTCAAGCCCTCCAGGCCTCCCCGCCCTCCTCAACTACCCACGGTTTGCTCTTCGCCCACTCCCCGCCTAGCTGGACCCTACTCATACTCCATGCCTCAAGCACTGGACCATCTCCTTCATTCCCACACCAGTTTGCTCCGACAACCTCGACAACGCCGGCCAAACTCACGACCCCGCCCCGCCGCGGCACCCCTAAGGTCGCCAAGATGCCGCCGGGAGCGTAGAGGCGTGGCCAAGGTCGGAAGGGGCGTGGTCACGGGCGGAAGGGGGTCGGAGTGGGACGTTTGTTGCTGAGGCAGTTCCGGAAGTCTTGCACGAGGAATGGCCTCAGAGGGGAAGAACAAGCTTCAGAAAAAGAAAAGCGCGAGGCGCACGTGAGTGGTGGGCAGCGCAGGGGGCGAGGGGCGCGTTCGCTGGGGCGCGACTGACTATCGGGGTCCTTTCGCAGGGCGCGCGCGGAGGACGGCGGAGGGAGCGCGGCCGGGGACTACCTGGTGGGACAGGTCGCCGACAGCCTGTTAGGCGGCTTGCGCGCTCCGCGAGGTAGCGACACCACGCTGACAGCCCTCTTCAGCGCCTCCACGCCGCGGGCCCGCCCGGTGTACGTCCCCGCACCTCAGGTGAGCCAGCGCGGCGTCCCCGAAGGCCCCTGAGCGCCCCGGTGCTCGGCGCGGCCTGACGTCGTGCTCCTCACAGGAAGCCTCGCGGAAGCGGGGGCGCGAGCTGCGAGAGAAGAGCCCACCCCAGGGTCGCAGGCCACTTTTGCAGGAACCTGCAAAAAAGACGAAAGCGAGGAAGAAACTGTCCGAGGCGGAGGCCAGGTTGGCCGACAGGTTGGTACAGTTCTCTTAGCCGACGTTAAAGAATCGCATGGTAAGAAATGAAACTTCACACGCCCGCAGTATGCATACTAGTTGTTTTCTCACTTCATATTTCGTCCTATTTTTTGTAAAAATCTTATACGAAGTTGCAAAGAATAAGAAACCCACTGTTGGCAGTCCTTAGGACAGACATGTTTCACCTCTGCCCTATTCAAAGTGTCCTCCCCATATGGAATCGAACTTATGGTTTGTTTTATCAGTAATTATTTCAGAATGTTTATAAAAGGTCAGTTTGGTTTTCCTAGGGAGGAAATTTTTTCTCTTAATTTTTTTTTGTCTGTGCTGAGGATTGTTCAAAATTATCTCTGCCACTTGTGCTGCATCTATCACAAACCTGTTCTGCCTCCTTAGAGATTGTGCTATCAGATCCTCTCCTTTTCTTCTCTTTTCCTTTGTCTTTGAACTTCTTTAATATATATTTTTTTAGTTGTAGATGGACATAATATCTTTATTTTTATTTATTATGTGGTGCTGAGGATAGAAACCAGGGGCTCTCTTGCAGGGCAAGCGCTCTACCACTGAGCCACAGCACACTGCACTGTGTTTGAACTTTTAACCATTTAACATGCTCAAGATTCTCTTCTTGAAAAAAGAAATCCAACAACCAAAAACCCCCATTCACGGTTGTTGTGTGTTTGCTACTGTTCCCATTGTCTTTTTCTTCATATTTGTACTTTTGGGAAAAAGTAGTTTGTTGTTGGACTCTTCCCCATTTTGTGACTTTTTTTTTTTTTTGTACTGAGAATTGAACCTGGGGATGCTCTACCACTGAATCACATCCTTTGCCCCTTTTTTTGAGACAGGGCCTCATTAAGTTGCTCAGGGCCTTCCTAAGTTGCTGGAGCTGGCCCTGAACTTGGCCATCCTTTTACCTCAGTCTCCCAAGTCATTAGGATTGGAGGAGTGTGACACCATGCCTGGCTCCTTTTCATGATTTATGAATTTTCCCACAGACTTACAGTCTGGTGGTGTTTTTGTTTTTGTCCAAACCATATAACAGTGCTTGGTGATGCATCTTGACTTACTCGTCGTATATAATGAGCATTGCAGCTCTTGTCCTCTCCATCACATTTTACATTGCTGCTTTCATCTGTGAAGCTGTTGGTTTCTCTGAAAGCAGTTTCTTATAATTCTCTTCTTGCTTGTCTTTTCCTTTTCACTGTTAATGTGGGTTCATTTTGTCTCTTTAAAATGTTGCTTTTCCTTAAAGTTCTTGTTCCTGGTCATCTTCTCAGAACTTTGATTTTTTTTTTTCACTGTTCATTGTCGGCATTGTTTGTTTTTTTGTTTGTTTTGTGCACCCTCTTACATTTCTCCTGATCTCTAGACTTGTTTAACTTTTTCCTACTGACATCTGTGCCATGTGCTTTAAATGGAGATGATTCTCCTCATCAAATCTGTTTATGGGCATGATGGTTCCACTAACTTTGTAAGTTGACTAAGCCAGTTGACTAAGCCTGCAAGAGCCATTAGTTGCCAGATGCTTGTACTTTGTTTTGTTTTGTTTTGTTTTGTTTTTAATAGACAGGGTCTCACTTTATCCCTAGGCTGGCCTGGTATTCCTGGGCTTGAGTGATGCTTTTGCCTCAGCCTCCCAGGTAACTGGGATTATAGGTATGCATCACCATACCTGATCAGTGCTCTTTTAATTACCTCTTTAATTTGTTTTCTTCTTTCCACCTCCATCCCTGTTCTGATTAATCTGTTTTCTTCTTAGATACACACTGTTGTAATCATCTCCTTACTCGACTGTTTTCTCCATCCTTGACCTCTTCTTTCTTTCTGGCTGTTGCTCAGATTGATCTTTTTTAGATATTTTCAATCTTTGGCAGCTCCCCGTCTTCTGTAGAATAGAAATCTAAGTGCTTTTGCATAACATGGATGTTTCTTCTTGACGTGGACCTTAGTTTACCATGTCATCGTAGTTCCTTTCCATCTTACTGTATACATGGCATACCATGGTGAGCAGATCTGGATGTGACATGACATACCATGGTGAGCAAATCTAGATGTGGACCCTCTCTGTAGTGGAGATTTGGTCTGGTGAAGAAGTACTTGTAGCCCATGTTTCTTGAGGATTGTGTGCCAGATACTGCTTTTCTCCTCTTAGAAATCTTGTTTCTCTTATTTCTTTTAAGTTCCTATACCATGTATTTTAGCTGATATTTTTTTCTGTTTTGAATTTGGACTGTCTGGATTTTGCTATTGAAAGGTTGATAGTTCTTCATGTCCTCAGAGCCTAGAACATAGTCGGAACTAGCAAGTATTTGCTCGTGGGTGAATCCCACTTCCCATTCTTTCTCCTCACTTCTTAAGATTCCCTATCTCGTTCTCTCTTTGAATCCATGTCAGACCTTATGTCTTTATGTGCACCAGTTTACTTTTGATAAGCAGCCTTTTAACTATTACAGAACTTTTGTAAGTTTGGTGATCCAGCTTTTTCTATTGACGAGATTCTTTTTACAAAGTGAGTGCTTGGTGGCCATATAAACCTTTTTAGATTCCTGGGGAATGCTGCATTGTCCAATTGTAGAGCAGAGACTGAAATTAGGATTGGATGAAGTGTAAACTAAATCTCCGAGAGCTTTGAATAAACTGACTTTTGTTTAGATGAACTTTTGTTGCTGTTGCTATTGCCTGGCTGGTTTTAGCTTGTGTTTAAAATTTGTGCTTAACTTTTTCTAACTCCTGAGTAATAGAATTCATTTTCTAAGTCTCCTAGTCTCTTTTTAGTTATGCTACTTTAAGTCTTTTGATATATTTATTTGTAGTAAGTTTACATTTAGAAAAACCACAAGTCCTGAGAAATGTTTCTAATAAGGAGGGTAGAATTATACTTGGTCAAATGCTTATTTCCATAACTTCTCATTCTATGTTTTTGCCTTAAAATTAGGGAAAGTGCTCTAGCAAGTGCTGATTTAGAAGAAGAAATTCATCAGAAACAAGGACAGAAAGGGAAAAATTCCCAGTCTAGTATTAAAGTAACTGATAGACAAGTACCTAATGATATAGATCACAGCTACAATGTAAGTCAAAGAAAGAAAATTGAGATCAATCAAGAAGAAGAAAGATTAAAGAATGAGAGGACTGTATTTGTTGGGAACTTGCCTGTCACATGTAATAAGAAGGTGAGTTTGTGGTTTTGTAAATATTTAAAGAAATTAATAACTTTATCTACGCTTTCACTATGAGTAAGCACATAATTGATAAGTCATTGATGTAACTTTATTATCAATTACTACATTTATCATTCTACTACACATTGGTTCCAATGTTTGTCCCATTTTCTTATTTCTATAGTCATTGCCCAAATTCAGGCTTTTACAAATCATATTTGAAATGTCAGAGTGGGCTTTTCCCTAGCTTTTTTCTTCTGGCCTCATCTCTGTTATATGCCATTGGGATAAAAAATAACATGCAGGAGTATTTGTCTCTCTCCTTCACTGCTCTGTCTCTCATACATGAGAATGTACCTCGAGCATAGTAGGGGCTCTATAAACATTTGCTGTTGTGAAAGAATGAATACATTCTAAGTTTCTTGAATTATGTCAGTTTCACTAAATCTAAAACATGCCCTTACATTACTATTTTTTGGGGGGGAGTGGCGGAGGGACCTATGATTGAGCTCAGGGGCACTTGGCCGCTGCGCCACATCCCCAGCCCTGTTTTGTATTTTATTTAGATACAGGGTCTCACTGAGTTGCTTAGTGCCTTGCTTTTGCTGAGGCTGGGATCCTCCTGACTCAGCCTCCTGAGCCACTGGGATTTCAGGTGTGTACCTCTGCACCTGGCACTGTTTTCATGTAGTAGTCACTGTATTGACAATTCTTGCATCAAAAAGCTGCTGGTGTTTTGAAAGACCATATAAATTCTACTTCCTTATAATACAAGAGATGTCGTGGTTTTTTCCTTTCTCCCTAATGCTTTTGTCTCCTAGCATTTGATTTGTGATGTTTTTAGTAGGCCATCAAACATTTTGCTCAGTAATATAGTTTTATTTGTCTTCCTGATAGATTATAAAGGGCTTAAGGGAAGGGCATGTGGCATATGGTGGTTTGAACAAATTATTATTTGTAAGTTATTTTTTAAACAGAATGAGTTATGGAAATTATTGCCTATCTATAAAACTGCCTTACCTATAAAATCTATGTGTTCTTCACATCCAGGAATAGGAATAATGCTTAAAATTTGCTTTCTAGGAGTTTGTTCAAGCTGGTGGTCTCAATTAGACATAACTGAAGCATTTCTTAGTGTGACATAAACTTCTTTAAAATTCATTTTGTTTTAAGCCAATGTGAAAAAAATGAGAGAATATGTGAAAATCCCAGTCTACCCTTAACT